CACTACATTTACACGGTTACAGCTTCTTCCAAGTCGGCATGAATAATGGAACATTTGACAATTCGACTGACCCTGCTTCATATAACTTGGATGATCCACCAGAGATGAACACTGCCGTTGTTTATGGGAGTGGATGGACAGCCGTTAGATTTTTTGCAAATAATCCTGGTAATTAATTTATATCATGTGTACCGAAATTTTAATTGATAATTGCTATTTGTCTCATAGATGGACTGAATTTTTTTTCCCAACTAATTTTCTTTAAGTAATAGTCTAGTATCACCTCAAATTTATAGTATATGTACATGCTAACTGGACCCATCCCTATATTTTGTTTTTCCAAATAGATTATTAACACAAGTTTTTCTTATTCTTCCACTTAATTTGTCATCAGGTGTGTGGTTTTTTCACTGTCATTTTGAATCGCACGTGAGTTGGGGTATGGCTACAGCTCTCATTGTGAAGGATGGCCCTAATCTAGACCAAAAATTGAAGCCCCCCCCAGCGGGAATGCCTAGTTGTGGTGCATAGGCCCTACAAGTAATGCTGAATGTGTCGTGTATCCATGTTTTTTCCTTTAGAGTCTTCATTCGTGGTTTTTGTACTACTTAATGTGGATTTTCGTAGGTTATGAGTCTTGCGCTCTCCGGAATTTGTTGAGGATTGTCTTCATTGTTAAGCTATGAATAATGCCCTGAAGTCTTTAAGCCTCAAATTTGCGTCTTGTTATTCATGCAGATTTATACTAGACAAATGTTGATATATTTGATAAATTTTATGAATGTATGGCTCATATATTTACTACTAGAATTAATTATAGTTAAAAATTGTACTCGTAAAAAATATCACTTGCCGTCTCTGTTTTCTGGCATGCATAATGAAGACATAAACTATTTATTAGTGAAATGTGATCAAGCTTATGATCAATGGATGTGGTGCTGTGGTTGGTGGAGATATGCTTCTGTTACCCTGGGATCAATTCTTGAGCCATGTGCTCAAGTTTGGTGGATGAAGCTATAGAAGCCAGAGCTTTGGACACCAAAGTTGTTATATTCTTAGCTCCACTGTACATAGAATAATAATTAATACATTTTCTAATTCAATACATTTTATAATATATTTATTAAATAATTATTATTTGTAAATTTAAATT